GAACCTGCTCCTGTCATGGACCCTCCTCCTGACGTCGCCCCTGACCCAGTCAACCCAGCCAGTGGCCCTGAGGAAGCTGCCCCAGCCGCTATAGAAGCACAACAACCATTGCCTGTACAACCTCCTCTAATCCAAAACCCTCTTTCTCCCCCTGATTCCCCCACAGGTTCTGTGTCATTAGACGGAGTTGTCACGCGCAGCAGCCGAGTGGTACGTACACCTGTCCGGTATGTAACATCCCCATCGCGCCCGGAGGGGAGAGGGAGTATTGTAGTGGAGGCCTCCCCTACAAACGCCGTGTGTCGCTGACTGGCCGACCCCCCGCGAATCTACCGGCGTATCCCTCGTGGTCAAGGTCAGGTAACCAGCGACGCCGAACAAAGCGGGGCCTACCATCAAGCCACGCCTACCCCCGCTATATAAGACCTCACCTGGCCGTCATCGACCACTTTCTACTTACCGCCACCAACAAGCAACATCCCTCAACAGCTCCATACACACGCTCCCTCAGAAAGCTCCTCGCCCTACAGGAACTCTGAGCAAGCTTCGCCCGACTTAGTATCTCTTTAACACTGTGCTGTGCAACAATATATATACGAGAAACACTGTGATTTTCTACTTCTACCTCAATCCTGAGTGTTGGATATATTACATGTACGTTGTGAGGCCAAATAAGAGACCCTGACAACCTGCCACGACAGTACGCTACAAGTTCAGCAAGCACTCACCATCAAACTGATACTGGATGATGTTATTGAATGTTTCAAGGAGGAAGAACACCAGGTGGTGATGATGTGGTGCAGAGAAGAGGAACCAGGGGGTGGAGAATGCTTCCAGGAGGTGCAGCAGCTTGTTGGCTGCCACCATAGACAGGGTCTTGATGTATGGTGACACTGCAAAGACACAACCACCATAATTACTCTATCATATACTTACAGTGCTGGGTCTTGATGTATGGTGACACTGTAAAGACACAACCACCATAATTACTCTATCATATACTTACAGTGCTGAGGTAAGCCAGCCTGAACCTACTCTATGTGTGATGGACAGTAAACTACACAAACACTTCACACACTCATAGTTACTAGTCGAACATTATGATGCAGTACAGTACTGTGTCTGCACCACTAACATAATGCTGCCACACTAGATGTATTACACACACACACACAGAGTAGAAGACAAACATTAAGTAAACTGGCCGCCAGGTTAAGTCACTTTCTATTACTGTACTGTACAACCCTACACGACTGATGACTTTATAACACATACTCTTAAAGCTCCTGGTCATGCTGTGGTAGTTAACCTTACCAAACATACATACTGTACTGTACTCCTCTCTCCCTCCACATAAACAGTACACAAAGTGAACCTCTTGCACCACATAATACTTTTAGAACTGTTAACAGAACAAGTATAGTCGAGTATTTACCATTAACGAGAATAGTGAGGAGACAGTCAAAGAGGGGCTGTAGACGCTGGTGGCCCGTGGTGATGATCTTGTGGAACACTATGATCATCAGGTCCGCGTGTGTACCTGTGGGAGACAACCTGTGCTGCTGTACTTCACCTAGTGCTGTACTTCACCTAGTGCTGTACTTCACCTAGTGCTGTACTTCACCTAGTAACTAGTGGTGTACTTCACCTAGTAACTAGTGGTGTACTTCACCTAGTAACTAGTGATGTACTTCACCCAGTAACTAGTGGTGTACTTCACCTAGTAACTAGTGGTGTACTTCACCTAGTAACTAGTGGTGTACTTCACCTAGTAACTAGTGGTGTACTTCACCTAGTAACTAGTGGTGTACTTCACCTAGTAACTAGTGATGTACTTCACCTAGTAACTAGTGGTGTACTTCACCTAGTAACTAGTGGTGTACTTCACCTAGTAACTAGTGGTGTACTTCACCTAGTAACTAGTGGTGTACTTCACCTAGTAACTAGTGGTGTACTTCACCTAGTAACTAGTGGTGTACTTCACCTAGTAACTAGTGGTGTACTTCACCCAGTAACTAATGGTGTACTTCACCTAGTAACTAGTGGTGTACTTCACCCAGTAACTAGTGGTGTACTTCACCTAGTAACTAGTGGTGTACTTCACCTAGTAACTAGTGGTGTACTTCACCTAGTAACTAGTGGTGTACTTCACCTTGTAACTAGTGGTGTACTTCACCCAGTAACTAGTAATTGTGCTGCCTAGTAACAATTAATTGTACTTCACCCAATGCTGATGGTATTACTTCACCCAACCAACTAATTGGTGTACTTCACCTAGTAACTAGTAATTGTACGTCACCTAGTAACTAGTAGTGTACTACAGTGACAATTGATTGTACTTCACCCTGTAGTAACTAGTGGTGTACTTCACCTAGTAACTAGTAGTTATTACTTCACCCAGTAACCAGTGGTGCTTCGCAGTAACTGGTGGTGTACTTCACCTAGTAACTAGTGGTGTACTTCACCTGATAACTAGTGAACATGCCAAGTAACTAGTGATTGTACTTCACCCAGTAACTAGTGGTGTACTTCACCTAGTAACTAGTGGTGTACTTCACCTAGTAACTAGTGGTGGACTTCACCTAGTAACTAGTGGTGTACTTCACCTAGTAACTAGTGGTGTACTTCACCCAGTAACTAGTGGTGTACTTCACCTAGTAACTAGTGGTGTACTTCACCCAGTAACTAGTGGTGTACTTCACCCAGTAACTAGTGGTGTACTTCACCCAGTAACTAGTGGTGTACTTCACCTAGTAACTAGTGGTGTACTTCACCTAGTAACTAGTGGTGTACTTCACCTAGTAACTAGTGGTTGTACTTGCCTGGTAACTGGTGGTGTGCATACTGTAGTAACTAGTGGTGTGCGATCACTGGTAACTAGTGGTTATTCACCTGAGCAACTGAGTGTACTTCACCTAGTAACTAGTTGTGTACTTCACCTAGTAACTAGTGGTGTACTTCACCTAGTAACTAGTGGTGTACTTCACCTAGTAACTAGTGGTGTACTTCACCTAGTAACTAGTGGTGTACTTCACCTAGTAACTAGTGATGTACTTCACCTAGTAACTAGTGGTGTACTTCACCTAGTAACTAGTGGTGTACTTCACCCAGTAACTAGTGGTGTACTTCACCTAGTAACTAGTGGTGTACTTCACCTAGTAACTAGTGGTGTACTTCACCTAGTAACTAGTGGTGTACTTCACCTAGTAACTAGTGGTGTACTTCACCTAGTAACTAGTGGTGTACTTCACCCAGTAACTACTTCACCTAGTAACTAGTGGTGTACTTCACCTAGTAACTAGTGGTGTACTTCACCTAGTAACTAGTGGTGTACTTCACCTTGTAACTAGTGGTGTACTTCACCTAGTAACTAGTGGTGTACTTCACCTAGTAACTAGTGGTGTACTTCACCTAGTAACTAGTGGTGTACTTCACCTAGTAACTAGTGGTGTACTTCACCTAGTAACTAGTGGTGTACTTCACCTAGTAACTAGTGGTGTACTTCACCTAGTAACTAGTGGTGTACTTCACCTAGTAACTAGTGGTGTACTTCACCCAGTAACTAGTGGTGTACTTCACCCAGTAACTAGTGGTGTACTTCACCTAGTAACTAGTGGTGTACTTCACCTAGTAACTAGTGGTGTACTTCACCCAGTAACTAGTGGTGATCTATGAACTGGTCTCATACTAACTAATCTTTTTATCATGAACCACAAGTAAACACACCTGCCACACACCTGTAAACACTGTAGTCTCACACCTGTAAACACTTTAGCTCTCATAAAACACACCTGCCACACACCTGTAAACACTGTAGTCTCACACCTGTAAACACTTTAGCTCTCATAAAACACACCTGCCACACACCTGTAAACACTGTAGGCTCACACCTGTAAACACTGTAGCTCTCATAAAACACACCTGCCACACACCTGTAAACACTGTAGTCTCACACCTGTAAACACTGTAGCTCTCATAAAACACACCTGC